TTGTTAAAAATCGGTGGTTCAGTGGAAGAATGCTTGCCTGCCACGTGGGCGGCCCAGGTTCGGGTTCCGGCGCGATGCACCATGTGACGGATGGCTTCTGGTAGAATGCCTTGTAGTGTGTACTTATGCCACGCGGGCGTTTTTGAAAAGCCTCAAACTTGGGTAATTAAACTTTATGTAATGAAACCAACAACATAACAACGAGCAGAACGAAATCTTCACGAGATCAGTAAAGGTTCAATGGACCGAGACCAACAATAGATGTCAAGAGAGTAGTAACAGTAACAATAAACCGGTAAATGTTAGCAACTGAGTATTAGAACACGTAATGGAATAACCGTGATGAGAAAACTTCGCAAATAAGAATACTTCAAAGAGAATCGCTAGAGAACAAGTGCAATGAGGATGAGGGCTCCGCCAGAGAGGGCAATCGCAAATAGAATCGCAATGTTGCAAATCGCTTAGTCGCAAAAGTTGTCTGGAAGAGCTCGAGGAAGACTGGGTTCTTGGTTCCCCTCTCAGCCTCTTTTATAGCGCCTTTTGGCGCGCGATCGTGATCAGATAGAAGATCATTTTCTTTGACTGACAAATCAACCATTGGTCTTCTAGATCGCGGGCAGTCCGCGATATGTACACAAGTAATGTTCTTAGTGTTTCCATTCGAAATAATTCTATTTATTCAAGTAGTCTCCAGCTTCTCTCTTCTTGTAACCTCGGCATTCTTTGTTCTTATTTGTGTTTGTTTCTTCTGCCGTTCGAGGTTGATAGGTGGAACATTTATTCAATCGGCCTAACGTTTCGACAAAATCGTCGTCTTCTGAGGCCTAAACGCGGTTCAAGGTTGAAATTCACGATCTAATCGAACCAAGCGCCTGATCTCCTCTAGCGGTTTCCGACTTTCCGCCGGGAGTCCCACCGAGAAACGTAAGCAAAACTAATTTTGAACTCACCCAGGGTCCCACCGTTCGTGCGGGAATCCCGCTTCTGCACTAAAGCGCCAGTCAGTAAGAAATAAGACACACCGTAACGTCTCCTGATTGGCGTAATCGCTAAGAGACGCACGTACGCTTCATTCTACAGCTCGCAGTGCGGTATAAACGGTGAGAGATCACTTGTTATTGAAGGGCGTTCATCCCGGCCGTTCATCGCTGGATTTCTTGCGGAAATCCAGAATGCTTCCAATGCCTTCCTAGCGGCAATTTCCGTCTCATGCGCCAACACCGTACACCTTATTTCGAAATCAACGCCATTGTGCTTCTCAACCTTATGCCTTCCAAGAGCCATTGAACGAGTACCGCGCCTCATGCTAGCCAAATGTTCTTTGATGCGAATGGCTAAAACCCTTCCTGTTTCTCCAATATAGGTTGAGTTACAAGCCCGGCATTCGATTTGGTAAATAAAAAAAAAAAAAAAAAAAAAAAAAAAAAAAAAAAAATTACTCCCCTATAGGCACAATCTCCAATTCTACCGTATGGGCAAATAACACAGCCTTCTGACACGCACTGCTTATCATAGAGCCTGTTTCGCACCAATTGCCGTCCGATGTTTTCGTTGGGAATATTGACCAACTGAACATCGTTGTGCAGCTGTGCTCTTCTAATACTCCGTTGAATAGCAGCGCTCACTTCGTCAGATATAAAGGGGAGACATAAGGGTAACTTGATTTGACGCGGTACCCCTCTTGGGGAGATATGCTGACTCTGGTGTCTTTGTACCGCATAGCCGTTTGCAATGGCTATTTGTGTAGCTAATTGTCGTGATTCACGTCTTTCAACATCTCCAGTGCTCACCCTGGTCGCAGTTCTGAACATAGAACATTTGGCTAGCATGAGGCGCGGTACTCGTTCAACGGCTCTTGGAAGGCATAAGGTTGAGAAGCACAATGGCGTTGATTTCGAAATAAGGTGTACGGTGTTGGCGCATGAGACGGAAATTGTTGCTAGGAAGGCATTGGAAGCATTCTGGATTTCCGCAAGAAATCCAGCGATGAACGGCCGGGATGAACGCCCTTCAATAACAAGTGATCTCTCACCGTTTATACCGCACTGCGAGCTGTAGAATGAAGCGTACGTGCGTCTCTTAGCGATTACGCCAATCAGGAGACGTTACGGTGTGTCTTATTTCTTACTGACTGGCGCTTTAGTGCAGAAGCGGGATTCCCGCACGAACGGTGGGACCCTGGGTGAGTTCAAAATTAGTTTTGCTTACGTTTCTCGGTGGGACTCCCGGCGGAAAGTCGGAACCGCTAGAGGAGATCAGGCGCTTGTTCGATTAGATCGTGAATTTCAACCTTGAACCGCGTTTAGGCCTCAGAAGACGACGATTTTGTCGAAACGTTAGGCCGATCAAATAAATGTTCCACCTATCAACCTCGAACGGCAGAAGAAACAAATACAAATAAGAACTTATTTATTTAATTTTAAATTACTATACTTCCAAGAGACTGACAAAATTGTTCGATCGTACCTTTTATAAAGCCCACAATTAAGGTCGAGGAGCTGAAAGAAGGTCAAACGTCACCGGAGATTGAGTACTTCGACGACTTCCTGCCTTGGTTTTACAATTCGACAAAGTTCCGAGAAAACTTACTTTATGAGAAGAAGAAGTATCTGAGCACGGTACTGGGACAACAGAGGAAATACAGGGTGATTTGAATATGACCGTGATGCTGTTTCATGAATCTGTACTCAAGAAAATACTACGTGTCATTTCCCATTTTTTTACCTAAGTTCAAATGAATTTCCAAAATTGTACACAATAAAAAATCTCTGTTGTATTTTTTTGCTTTTCACAAGTGCTCTCAAGAGAAGAACAACATGTGAAGAAGGTAATGTGAGACTAGTGTTTGAGGGCACAAATTGTTTGAGACCTGAATAATTACTTAAAGAGATCGACCACGAAAAATACGCTCCCTCCCATCTGCTGAAGGGCATGTGCCACGGAGGGAGGCACCGGAAATGCTTTGTGACGAGGTGCATGGTCGGAACAACGTGAATGCTTAAGAGAAGGTCCAACATGAAATCTGTTAAGGTTTACGCTTTCAAAGCGTTTTTACGTGCTGACTCCACAACGCCAACAGTTGTGACAGTCCTACGGCTTATAGCTTTCCTGGTTGCTTGGATTAGTATCGAAAAACGCTTAATTTCCGTTATTTTTGTAATCGTCATGAAGCAAGGGGCCCAAGGTATCAATTTTTGGTGCAGCGGAGGCAAGGCTCTTCCTTAAGAGTTTCCCTCTAGAGGCAAACCCCGGGATTAGCCCGGCTAGTAGGAGAGACAGGGACGAATGGAGACGTTGCTGGCGCCCGCTCGAGCAAATCGACGATCAACGGGACGACAGGTGATACAGGTGAGTAGGAGAGATACCACGAGGGAAATTGTAAGGTCCGTACCTACCTAGATCACTTCAACTTCGGTCGCGAAAATTGCGCGGTTAGGGCGCTAATCCTTACGGGCCTCCAACCATCGAACGCTTCCCACCCACCGCGAGATGGTGAGATCAGCGTGCTCTCTCAAACGACGTGCTCTCTCGCGTATTTTGTCTTCTTTGACCGCCCTGTCTCGCCATCGTACCACATCCGACCTTACTTGAAGGTTAAGGCCTTAATTTCAGCGTTCCCAAAGATTCTCTTGCTTTCCTTCCCACTTTCAGGTCGTTCCGCAGCTAAGCTATCACCACGAAGCGCTAATAGCACCAGTTTAATCCCGGGGTTTGCCTTTAAGCGATCTCAATGGTCAGTAGGCTGGAGTGGGAGAGATATCAGCCGTGACGAGAGTATGACCAGGGTCAAGCGAGGCGTCGAGGAAAATTCGGAAATACGATTCCCCCCTCCCTGCCGAAGGCCGAAGTCCATGAAACAACCCTCTTTAAAAGCCG